TTGCAAAAATCCTATTGCCACTGTTTTCACGCTTTGTCGGGTTTACTTATGCACTTACCAGGAACCCCTTCGAAGAGGCATATCATATGTACATAGAGGCTCTCACAGTCGTCCTGTTATGCCATAGGCCGTAGGCGTGCTCGCCTGCAAGAAGGTTCCCAGAGTAAGGGCAGATAATTTACAAGAGCAGAACAGCTGTTCGACATCGACCAGGGAGACGCTGAAAGGGGAGCAACGTCAAATCTTACCAGGAACCCTGCAGCTGATTGACGCATCCTCCTTCGATTGGAACCTCCTCTGTGGAATACGAACGAAGGCTGAAAGTTTTTGCCTCTCGACAGTCGCCACAGCGCGCTAACTACCATCCCAGAGACGGCCAGCACGGTTTCAACGAGCAGTTCGTAGCGGTGCCTGACAAGCGACATACCGAGCCTCACACCCCACAACAAACCCAGGCCATAGAAGTGTCGCGATGGTGATGAAGACAGCGATGATAAGATGATCATGACCAGGATGACGACGATGGGGCAAATGCTTTTTGAACACAAACCATCCGTGGCAACTGCCTCCATATTCCCGAAGCAGTACAGCAGACTCAAAGATTAGCAACATGAATCCGCTCTACTTCCAGTGCAACATTCTAGAAGGCAACTTCGGCGGCGAGGTCCAAAGACCGATCTTCCAACCATATTCACTTCCATCAAAAAGCCTCAGATACCTTTAACACCATGCTGCTTTCGACTTCTCCTCCCTGGCAAAAGAAACTCAACAAAATAAACAAAAACACCAAAAAAAAAAACAGAATCCCTGAGCCACACACACACCCCTAAACCCTAAACCCTAAACCCTAAACCCTAAACCCTAAACCCTAAACCAAACCCTAAACCCATACGTGCAGGCGCACAGTAGATTGAGCTTCTCACGGCCAGGAGATGCATCATGCCAGGGTGTTGCGGTGGAACGGGTGCAGCACTAGGGTTGAAAGTGGTTTAGGGTTTAGGGTTTAGGGTCTAGGGTTTAAGGTTTAGGGTTTAGGGTTTAGGGGTAGACTGTCCGGCAATGGAGCCCTGCAGGGTCTAGGAGTCTGGATGTGCGGGGTTTCTGTGTATTGACCGGGTTTCGGGTTTATGTTGCAGTGCAGCCAAGCGCCGGGAAAACAACCAGACTTCAATTCTTGAAACTGTCAAAGTCGCATGCCGGCGTAGGGTGTTTGGGGTCTAAGACGTACAGGTGCTTTGCTGTCCGTGTGTGTATATATATATATATGTATGTACCTGTACGTACATACAAACATACATACTCACGTACATATTTATTTATATATATATATATATCGGACTTTCGGAAGCAGAAGCCAAAGTCAAGCGTGTAGGTTCGACTGGCTTGCAGGACATGGCATTATGCACCATGGTTACAGACGGTCAAAGACCCCAAAGAATGTAATAAATGAAGACGGTGCACTGTGAAGATTCAGATATGCAATACATATGCATATACATCTACGTCTCTACATCTACATCTACATACGTACCTGTATACATGTATACTTATAAACTTATGTACACACACATACGTGATTATACATGTATATACGAAACAACCTAGACAGATGTATACCCATATGCGACGCATACATATGTATATACATACATATGTACATACGTACCTATATGTAAGTATACTCATGTGTACACATACAACTCATACCTACATAAACACCGTTCTGCCCATAGATATATGTACATATTCACATGTGTATATAGATATATATAACAATACATACACATGTATATTGGCATGTGCATATCTATATATATATACATAGGCACATATATGCATATGTACATGTATACATAGATACATTTATACACTTCAGTTCAGCACCTGTCTACCTACTTACATCTTTACATATACTGACATGTACGTACATGCCCACATACTCTTGTACATACATATAAATATATACATGCACATACAGTACATGTACACATCTGTGCACCTATGCGACTATAAGTCTATGCATATATACAGATTTACATACCTACATATATGCATAGGTGAACATATGTACATACACATATATAAATGCATGTGAACACATACACATATGTACATATACATATAAGCATGCATGGCATGCACATGTGTATATGTACATATATATATATATATGTATATATGTGTCCGTATGTATGTGTTTACGTAACGTTTGTTTTTGTATGTAAATGTGTAGAAAGGCACAGATGATCTATATATATATATGTATATACACATATATGTATTTACATACATACATATATGTATATGTCAATATGTATATATTAATATACAACACATAATACATGTATACATATATATGTGTATTGCATATGTATATGTGCATATTGTAACTATATGCGTAAAAAATGTGCATGCATGCATGCATGCATGCATGCATGCATGCATGCATGTATGTATGTATGTGTGTATGCGTGTATGTATGTATGCACGTATGTATTTATGTATGTATGTATGTATGTATGTATGTACGTATGTATGTATGTATGTATGTATGTATTTATGTATGTATGTATGTATGTATGTATGTATGTATACATGTATGTATGTAGGTGAGTATATAACGCAAATGTGCGTGTATATACATATATATATATACATATAAACATAGAGCCAGCGAGAGATAAAGGGAGGGAGGGAGGGAGGGAGGGAGGGAGGGGGGGAGGGAAGGAGGGAGGAAGGGAGGGAGAATATACATCGACTAAGTACGTATAGGTTACGTATTTTATATGTGATATACAACATAGCTTTAGACTCCTAGACATTGCATCAAGCGTGAACACCAAACCACGAGACGTCTTTCATCCTTGGAGGGACAACTGCAGCAACTAGGGTTGAGGAAAGCTGAGTACACCCCCAAAACCACAAGAAGCCCAAACCCTAAATCCCAAACCCTAACAACTCCAACCCCAAAACGCATAAACCCGTATAGAAACCCTGAAAGAACCGAAGGACGGCGAAGGAATGTCCCAAGTCGGCTCTTTCTGCATTTTGCTGCCTCTTTGTCTGTAGCATGGTTGAACGGAGCTCCGGATTTTCTAGGATGGAACGAGAACTCTGCGATTTAGGATGTCGTCCTCAAAGTTCAACGATTTGAAAATATTTGAGGTAGACGGTTTAGGGCCTAGGGTTGAAGTTCAAGGTCCGGGATCCTTGATCGCAGTGTGCACCACAGCCGGACGAAGTTCTTCGGGCTTGGGTATTGCGGCTGAATGCCCAACAAAACTTTCCATAGAAGGCCTTGCTCGATGTTGCCGTTGAGAAAACCACTTCGCGGCGCGCAAAACTTTGTCGTGTTACTGCGATACTCATGCAAGATTCAGCATTCGCGGTGATTTGGGGCACCTACGGTCACAAGTCTGACGCAACTGATGCCCGCCGGCACTATGCTAGAATTCCGAGTAATGCAATACAGTGTTGTGTTGCCTGGTGTGCTGTCCTTACTGTTACTGCTTTCATGAATAACAACATAAGCAGTAATACTCTAATCCTAAACCCTACGGCCTAATATTAGTGTTTTTGGCAACATCCAGCGAGCCGGCCGTCACATCGTGCCACTCGCGTCGGTCGAGGCCTGTGCAGCGCGCACGCTAGAACAAACCCTGCTGCGGAAACCCGGGACTAGGGTTAAGAAATTAGAATTTGCCGAAGCTTCCTGAACCCTAAACCGCAAACTTTAGGGCTTCGGGTAACCCCGCAAGCGTCCTTAGAGTTTAGACAAACCTCCCAGCCTAGGAAGAGAGCCCTGACATCAAAAAAAAATTGGGACTCGTGGGTTTATGCTTCACGGGTTAGGGTGGTGTTGCGTTTCTTGGGTTGGGGGGTTAAGACCCCGGGGCACAGCTAGGGCCCGTAAACCGAGCAAGTCTGGAACGGGCTCTCACGCTTTAATGCCTACCTCAAGGACTCTAGTCTCAGAGTGTTTTTGCATCGTAAACCGATTGCCCTGTACGGTGTTAACCCTAAACCCTAAACGCTAAACCCTAAACCCTAAACCCTATCTCGGAGCCAACTCCGCCTGAACCAGTTTAGGACCAAAAGTAAAAAAGCTCCAGATGCCGAAAACCTTTCCCTCAGGTAGCATGCTAACCCTTGACGCCTGACCTGGACTTGTACATCTACCTTCAAGAGATATCGACATCCATCACATCTGATCAATGGGTATAGGTTGCTTCAAATGGACCCCTTACGATTCACCCACCTTTTGCGACATTTACTTGGAAAGGAAAAGCAAGTTTGAACGATCGGACATGCTTGCACTGTCTGTGAACCGCTCCGAAGCAGGACACCTGGCCTACCCCCGCCTAGCCCCCCTCCCGCCCAAATTCAAAAACAACACCGAAAGTGACATTTCAAGCTGTCCGCCTGTTCCCCTTCCCCTCCATCCCCCCCCCTCCCCCTTCCTTTCTCATGTGTATGCAGCATGCCGATATAGTCCATCTTTGTCCTCAGCAGTTTTCTTGTCCTTTGTTGGCGTTCTCATGCTATACCTTCCTCTGCTTCCCTCCCATTGGCCTCCTGCACCTTAATTCTACGCTTCCCCTTCCTCCTCCAACTCCTTCTCTTCAAGGGTTTTGGGGTTTGAGACTCAACAGACGGATTTGCTGGTATTTCCAGTGCTCGGGGCATCTCCCATCTGGCGTTGTTCACCTTTCACCTGTATCCACAAAACCAGACCTCAAACCCGAGACTTTAAATACTGCACCTTCATTCTTCGCTTCCCCTTCCTACTCCAACTCCTTCTCTTCAGGGGTTTCTGTTTTTGGGGCTCAACAAGGGGATTTTGCGGGTATTTCCAGTGCTCGGAGCATCTGCATCTGGCGATGTTCACCTTGCACCTGTATCCACAAAACCAGGGACTCTAAATACCCTCTCCTCCGATTTCACACAAGCGAGACTTTGTTGTTCAGACTCAACTTCAACCCAAATGCACATCGAGCGACCTTTGATAGGTTCTGAAGCACGCGGTCGATCTTGTCGTCCACGTTATTCATCCTCGCCTGCACCACTGGCATGTCGGGGCTTGAACACCCAAACAGTTTCTGAGGGGCTTCTTAGATTCAGGGTTTAGGTTTGCCGTATAGTGTCACATAAGCAGAAGTATCTAGCGACAATGCAGTTTCGAGTTTCGAGTGTATCGTAGTTTGACGATTCGCCGCTGGAGCCCGAACGTGGAGGGCTCTTTTTTCTCTCCCACCCCACGCCATCTGAGGCGGCTAAACCGCCCAAACCTTGTCCGTTTAGTGTTTCGCTCTGAACTCATTCCACGGTTTTCTTCTTTATTTCAAGTTTGTTCA